CTGGGCCCCCAGTTTAACTATTTAACAAACACACTTTCATATTCTTGCGAAAGGACAGTCAACATTTGAGTCAGAATAAATGGGGATCTCTCTCTCTGCCTTTCAAATAAAATAAGTCTGAAATTAAAAAGTCAATGTTGTGATCTAGTAACTGCCTGCAATGCTAGCATCCTATAGGAGACCCGGATTAAGTCTTGCCTGCTCCATTTCCAGTCCAGCTCCCTGCTAACGCTCCTGGGAAAGTTGAGGAAAACAGTCCAAAGACTTGAGCCCCTGCAACCATGTGGGAGACCCTGATAAAGTTCCTGACTAGTGGATTTCATCTCTGGCCCAGCCCTGGTCATTGGGGCCAATTAGGGAATGAACCAGCAGGTGGACGATCTATTCTCTCTCCCGCCATCCTTTCTATAATTCTGCTCTTTCAAATAAAGAAATAAATCTTTAAGAAATAATAAATCGCTGGGGTGGCGTTGTAACACCCACATCCTGTGCCGGAGCCTGGTCTGGGTCTCAGCTACTCTGCTTCCTCCGAGTGCACCGTGGGAAGCAGCAGAGCACAGCTCAAGCACGTGGGGTGGGCCCTACCTCCCAGACAGGAAGCAGATGGAGATCTTGTTCTGGCCTCGGCCTGTCCCACTCCTGGCTGTTGCAAGTGCTTGGGGGAATGGCCCAGTAAACAGAAGATGGATCTTGGGCCCGGCGCAATAGCGTAGTGGTTAAAGTCCTCGCCTTGCACACACCAGGATCCCATAAGGGCACCAGTTCATGTCCCAGCCGCTCCACTTCCCACCCAGCTCCCTGCTTGTGGCCTGGGAAAGCAGTCAAGGACGGTCCAATGCCTTGGGACCCTGCACAAGCATGGCATGGGAGACCCCGAAGAAGCTCCTGGCTCCTAGCTTCAGCCATTGTAGCCACTGGGCAGTGAACCAATGGATGGAAGATCTTTCTGTCTTTCCTTCGCTCTGTAAACCTGCTTTTTCCAATAAAATACATCTTTAGAAAAAATTAAGATTTCTATCAGATCTGTATTATTAATAGAACTACAGAAAAATAACCCAGGAAAGCCAGCAGCAGACAGAAGCACAGATACACACACAATTGACATGTCCGATACACATAAAATCAAGGTAGAATCACGTGCCAACCAATAAGGCAGAAATCACTAGACATTTCACCCAGTGAAGGCTTCCGACTTAGAGGCAACCCCACACTAACACACAGGTAACGTAATGTCAGCCACTGAATGCCAGAAGATGCCCCAGTCATATTTCTAACAAAGGTTAGCACCCACAATATGCCAAGAACTCACCATGAAAAAGGCAAAAGGTCACGAATAAACTCAGAAATACAAAGACACAAAAAGTCTACAAACACCCGGAGAGATGACTGTGTCGCCAGGGAATATGCGGAATGTAAAATGCAAGATCATGCAGTTCCCACAAGCAAAACTGCTGGGTTGAAGCGACGGCAAGCGAAGGGCAGGAGGCGGGAACGGCGCTCTGTGTCTGCTGCTGGGGAGAGAGGCTGGGTCTCCCTCGGCGGAGCCCCGCTCCCTGGACCCCGCACACACCTGCCCACCACACACCGACTCCAAATACCTTCCCCGCACACACCTGCCCACCACACACCGACTCCAAATACCTTCCCCGCACACACCTGCCCACCACACACCGACTCCAAATACCTCCCCAGCACACACAGGCACAAAAAGAGCTGTTTCAATGCTTGATCACTTTAACGCTTAAAATGCTCCGTAACTCAAAAAAGACATGAAATCTATTCCACACGCAGGGGAATGGCAAGTAACCTATGACATATCATCTAAATACACAACAGCACTGGGAATGAGCCAGGGGACTGGCACCATGGCACAGTGGCTGCCAGCCCATGCAGATGCCAGTCTGAATGCTGACTGCTCTGCTTCTGCTTCAGCTCCCTGCTAAGGCACCTGGCAAAGCCACAGAGAAGGCCCCAGGGCTTGGCTCTCTGCAGCCACGGGGAGGGAGCTTCGAGCCCAGCCCAGCTGCTGCAGCCAGCGGGGAGAAAACTTAATGAATGGAAGGAGCTGTCTCTTTGACTCTGCCTTTCAAAGAAATAAAAGTGAATATATTTTTAAAAGGAACAAATCAGAATTACATGCATCAGATCGTTTCAAAATAGGTAAACGAATACACACATATATCTTATATATCTTGTGAAGACACAGAGCTTACAAATACCATGCTATACGTTGTCTATAGTTACACCTGCACATAGAGCATGGAGACAATTCAGACAGACAGGATGCCTATCAAATTTAATACACTGTTTACCCTTGGAAAAACAGAGTCGGATTAAAGGTGGAACTAATTTAAGACTGCAAGACTTAAGACTTTAAGACTTTCTTTTCTTAGACACGAACGGTTAAAATCAATACAATGAAGATGATCGGAAATCTGCCTCAGTGGGGTAGTGTCTACCACAAGGCTAGCCTCCCCCTCCCCGTGCGGTGCTCGGACTATTTCCAAACGCAACAACACAAGAAGCCAAAGGCAAAAAGTTAAGGAGAAAAGCAGTGTTTTTCACCTTTTCTGATATAAATTTTCTATGATACAAATTCTTGAGTCATTTTTTTCTTTCTACTAGAGGTATAATCCTTAACGTGCTGATACACACCATTGATCCCCAATTCAAGGGTCCTTTCTTTGCTGACAGAACTTTGTTCAGCTATTAGAAGGTTGCATGTTACAAAGCTAGACTCCGTTCACAACCTAAAATATGGACTTTGTGGTCATTTTAAGTAATTCCACTCCGTATATCAATTAGTAGTAATAGAAATGGACATTTGGAGCCCGGCGCGGGAGCTTGGCAGCTAAAGTCCTCACCTTGCCCGTGTTGGGATCCCATATGTGTGCCGGTTCAAACCCTGGTGGGCCCACTTCCCATCCAGCTCCCTGCTTGTGGCCTGGGAAAGCAGTCGAGGACAGCCCAAAGTCTTGGGACCCTGCACCCATGTGGGAGACCCAGAAGAGGCTCCTGGCTCTTGGCTTTGGATCGGTGCAACTCTGGCCATTGTAGCCACTTGGGGAGTGAATCATCACACGGAAGATCTTTCTTCCTGTCTTTCCTCCTCTCTGTACATCTCACTTTCCAATAGAAATAGAATAAATCTTTAATAAAAAAGAAAAGGCATGCGCTTTTTTTTTTTTTTTTTGGTAAAATAATTAGATGAAGTGACTACAGTGAAAAAGAACCTCATAAGAGAGAATGAAGAATTCCCTCTTCTGCAGGCATACTGTTGTGTAAGCAGATGACGCCTGGAAGACCCTGGCACCAGGGTGCTGCGCTCACACAGGGTCAGCTCCGAGGGTGAGTCTCCAGGCAGGCACTCAGTCCCGGAGGACACCCTGCGCCCCGAGTTCAGCAGCCAGGCAGCTGCCTTCCCCAGCCCTCGGGCGGACAGCGTGCCTCGCAGCCTCAGGCACATCTCTGAGCGAGGCTCTCTGCTGCCCGCCTCCTGATGCAGTGTTATTTATCAACACACAAAAGCCCTGCAGAATGTCCGGATTCCAGTGAGCTCTGGATGCTGACATAGTCCTACTTGCTCTCCTACAGACTGGAGGCAGGAATTCTTGCAGACGACAGAAATAACTGTGGCTTTATCAGAACCACCCTACTTAGGCGTCACTCTGTCCTTATCATGGGTGCTTCTCTGTGCTTGTTTTATTTTTAGCAATGGTCAGGCACACGGAGAAACGCGAGGGCAAGGCCAACGTGGAGTCTTTGGAAGCAATTTGTTAGCTCCTCCTTTGTGGCTCTCTAAAAAACGCTGTTTAAATGTTTATCTGAAATTTCCAGGAAGAGGATCAGCCCAGGGAGAGAGGTGGACTTCTGTCCCAGCCTCACCCACCCCGCCTCGGGCAGACCCACAGCGCAGTGTTCCCACAGAGGAACCAACAGGCCTGCAGAGGCAGCTCGGGCGATGATGGAGCGACCGCCCAGCTCCACCCACGCTTCTGTAACCCACACCTGCAAACGTGTTCACGTTTCATTAAATAGATTTATTTATCAAGATTCATTTATAAAGATGATTATAAAATCTGAAGTTAAAAGAGATTGGATTTGACTATACAAAACTGGCCGGCTACAAACAATTGTAAAAATACACTTCTCAGTCCCCGACAGGACGCAAGTACAGTAAAATATAAAATTTGTATCCTCAAACTGCATTACTTCCCTTAGAATTTTTAAGAACCACTACACAATTTATATGCGGAAAATGTAACATGAAACTCACCCTAAGGAAAAAAAAATGACTTTAAATTTGAGTCTACTGAGGTTGTCCGTTTCCGTACATAAAAGTGATCTGGTCCCAAGTTCTCCTTGAAATTATTTACCACGGTAAGTCTCCTTCTCGCTACTTCCTTCTAAAACAGAAGAGAAGAGCTGATGACACTGATGGCCACCATGACACACAGCATGAGGCCCTGATGGGGACCAGTGAACTCACCGCCTTTCTGAAGGATTAGTAAGCCGCCGGCAAACGGCCCACTTTTGCACCAATGAAACAAATGGAGGTAAAACCTCAGAAAAAAGCAGATCTCAAGTTCAATGTCAGCACAGCCAAGCCTAGGTCCTGTGGAGCTCCACTAAACGCAGCAGCGCGTGGTGTGACCCTGAGGTAGCCCAGTGATTTGCATGTGAATAGATGGGTCTAGGGCACACGTGGGCATGGCTTGGTGTCAAATTCTACAGTCAACCCTGCCCTTCCTGTAGGACCTGCCACCCCGCTCCTTAGAAGATACGCTCCTCCATCAACAGCATCCAAGAGTTGGTTTCATCATCTCCCAGAGAGGTGGGGAGGATGACCCCAACCCTGACAAATGGACAAGGCACCGGGACAGTCAGAAGCTACACCTGCCATGCTGACCGGTGCCTGAGGCCCACATTGGCCACATTTACACCACGAAAACCCACTGCCAGCATAGATGTGGCAGATGAGAAATGGGATGGGATTGTTACATTCTATCAGCAGAAACATGATTCTGTTCACAGAGAAAACCTAGCCTGGGAGACTTCCACCAGCGGACCTGACCTGTGACTCATCACCTTAACACTGGAGCGGAAGGAAGAAACTCTGGGAGGAAGATGTAGCCTGTGAATGACCCTGGCAGGCAGCTCCCAACCCAAGGATTGCACAGGGCTGGCTCCAGGACAGCCTGGCAGCAACAGACAATGTCTCTAGATTGTCTGAACTGGTCAGGAAGTCTCTTGAGATTGTTTTGTCCGCTTCCTGATATCATCAACAGCGTTGATGAGGGCAGGGCTCTGTGTTCACTTGAACATGGTGGATAGCTCTTGCTATATATACACCAGGGTTGCAAGACAAGGGGTCCCACATTCCAGGCCATGGAAAGACAACTGACAGAACTGAAGCCAGGAGCCCACGGCCGCCCAATGGAGGAGGCAGAAGATCAAGCAGCTCCTACAGGTGAAAAGCCAAGGGCTGGGGACTAAAAGAAACAAACTGGCAGGATCCACGGAGCTGCATAAACTCAAGGAGGAATAATCACATGTCCACGGGGCAGTGGACACCTGTTTAATTCAGTCGGAACTTGGGGAGCGGTCCAAGTCTGTTTTATAATCACTTCCACTGGATAGGACCAAAAGTCTGTATCTTTCTTACCTTTGGTCCATAGTTACCAGTTTCTGCACTTGTTCTCCAGGTTATATCATACTCCTCATTTTGATATGACGTCAATAACCAAAGTACAGTTAATAAACATGAGGCTGTTGGTGGTGTTGCGTTCCTAAATACAAAATACCAACGCCTCCCCATTTTATATTAGGCTACGTGGAAGTCTCAGACAGGGTTAGTAGTAATTATTTTCAAGTGTTACAAGATAATTTTAAGGCTAAGGGAGATACAGTAAAAATGTAGCATTAAGGAGAAAAAAAAATCCTAGGCCCACATTTAAATATCAGTCTCTTAAAGAGACATCAAATCTTCCATTACAGAACATAATCTAGCCATAAAATACAAAGCAAATCAATTTAGAAATGAAGCAATTTCTAAATGCATAATACAGTCACGGTGTTTACACAGCTCTATAGCATCATTTGGAAGCTAAGCTTGGTAAGACGTTCTGTAATGGAAATAATAGGGTCATGCATTGCCAGCTGAGCTGTTGTCAATTAAAAACAATTATTCTCCCTCACCACCCCCAAACCCTCCATTTGACACAGGTTTTGACGGTTATCTAAAAACAAAACAAAAAACACAAACAGCTCAAAAACCTCTGACCTAACGTGTAGTGACCGCCCAACAGCCCCCTACCCCATATAATCTGTGCCTCCTCCCCATCGCCCTGGCTTTAGACAGGAATGGTCTGAACAAGCACACAGATCCTCCACGAGCTCCTGCCGGGGCCCGGAGACCACCAAAGCAGCTACCTTCCACTGCACCTGCTTCAGGTCTTTAAGCATTCAGGGGTTCGGTAAGCGTCTCTGCCCTCGTGGTACTCTCCGGCTTTCTCAGCTGGGACTCCTGCCGTTTCTCATAGAACATCACGGCAAAGTCCAACAGGAACGTAAAACTTGCCAGAAATCCAAACACCTGGAAAAAAAATAAAGAAAGAAGGGTTATATGAGGAAGTTCGCGATACAGTCAGACATCGGCTAAGAGTTTTATGTACACGGGATTTATCCATTTTATCGACAAATGAAAATTTTCTAGGATACTTATTCATTAAAGTTGCACAAAATACGATGTCCTGTCTTACGTGGATATGTGGGGTAATCAATTAACGTTAATAGATAGAGAAGATTATCCTATAAAAATATGTGAAATAGGGACTAGTATTGTGGAACAGCAAGTGAAAACCCCATGGCTCACAGTGCTACCATCACATAAGGTGGGCCTGCCTGCTCCATTTCCAGTCTAGTTTCCTGCCAATGCTCCTGGGATAACAGGCTAAGCTATCCCAAGGACCTAGGCGCCTGCCATCCATGCGGGAGGACCTCGATGGAGTTGCAGGCCCCCAGCTGCAGCCTGCTCCAGCCGCAGATGTGGTGGGCATCTGGAAGTGAACCTGCTAGTGACGGGGACAGCCGGAGGCTCGTCTCTCTGTAACTCTGACCTTCAAATAAATCAATACATTTTTAGAAACTGTCAAACGCTGCAAAATAAAATCCTAGCAGATGACTGAAGGTTACTTGCAATGGTTAGTCTCAGCCACAGATGTGAAAATGGCTCAGGTGAAAAGGGGAAAAGCTATTAGTACCAGAACAAATCTCATTGAAAAAAATACGATTACACCAAACAACCTGTGATGCGTCTCCAGTTAACTGTCACACTGTAACGACACGGTGACATGACGCCACCACCGACTTCCTCTTCCTTCAAACACTTCCTCATTGTACTGTTCTAACACACACTCGTCAAACATTCCGAGAATTCGACCAAGGAACAGACACTGTGCCCCCGACACAGCCTCTTCATTAGCAAAAGCTTTAGGGATGTGGAGGCCAAACAACGCTCTGCAGAGAAGAAAATTGCTGTTGGTAATTGAGGCGTAACTGAAGTCTCTTCCAACTCCGATTCCACCTCCATGATTCTTGTTAACAGTTTATCTCTTGATTTCAGTGACAGAGAGAGTGAGAAAAATGTGTGTTCACTCCCCAGATTTTTGTAACAACTGGGGTTGGGCCAGGTAGAAACTAGGAGTTAAGAACTCTAGACCTCCCATAGGCGTGGCATGAATCCAGCCGCCTGAGCCACCGACACGGCCTCCCGCCATCTGCATTAGCAGGCAGCTGCCATGGGGAGCCAGAAGTTGGTCTCGAACCCATAAATTCCAACTGGGGATGTGGGTATCTTAACCGAATCTTAACCACTAGACCCAACTCTCAGGCTCACCACTGCCACGTGGTCCCGGCCCCTCCTCCTCTCCCCAGACTGGCCACTTTATGGAATATGCATTCAGTCTCATTTCACCAGACTGCAAACTGAACTCTAAGTTCATTCACTCAGCTGGATGTTCCCCATACGTTCAATTTAAATGTATCAGTTAACCCTCCCATCTTTCTGCCCTTACTTGTGTGCCAAACTTGCCGAGTTCTTCATTCACACTCAAAATGGCACCTTGTCTGAGAAACCATCCCTGACCAACTCTGAGAACTCCAATGGCTACGGGCTTGCTACGCTTTAAACTCCAGGCAAGTAACTTAGTTCTCTCATTCACCTGCGTCCGCACTTTTAAAGTACATTCACACGTTTATTTAAGTCTACAAGACTTCCCATCATTTCAATACTTATGACTGGTAATATCCAGTAATTATAAATTATTATAATAATTATTGCAATACTTAATCCTTTAATAATTATAACACTTAGCATAAATACTTTTAAAACTACCAGACAACATGAAACCTAAGCAGGATAATAGTCTAATTAAAACATGTAAACAAACTCTATTTTAGCAGTTAGTAGGAATTTTCTGCCATGCTTCTCTCTTCCCTGCCAGAACTCAATTTTTCCTCAACTTCCTTTTCTGCTCAAGGTATCACATATTTTGGGACTCAGAAGTATTTTACTGACCACCCTGTTGTATTCCTCTACAACAAAAACAAGTAAACAAAACCCAAGACCCTGGTAAGTCTGTTCTTTTCTCATAAACTGCTTCCCCTCTACATAAGTAAGTATTACTGATTGCTAAAATGAGTCCAGGTCCAGCAGTAACGTCTCTATGTTGTGTTCTTACGTGCACAGCACGAAGAAACTACAGTCACACAGCAGGCAGAGTGCAGCCATGTGACTCTGAACTTCTTTGAGTGGATCTACTGTAAGCAGTGCTTTTAGCGATCCGTTAGCAGACAACTCCGATACGTCCAGCTTCAATTTTATTAAGAACCTAGTACCAAGCAGAAACCAGCTGACATGCAGGAGGAAATGTCTCCAGTGTGAGACCTTCAGGCTCGCAAGACTGGGGTCATTCCAGCTCTCTGATCCTTGGTTTACAATTCTGAGTCCCCAAAAAAGCCACCCAAACTACAGTAGGACAATTCATAGCTTTTCTTTTATTGCAAATAGCCATATCCTTTGCTTCAGAAATATTACTGATAAATGACAGGGACTCTGCCGGTGTCACAAAGTACAGTGCCTGTGTAGTTTTACCGTTCTCAAACTCAGAATACCCTGAATTCCTTTTTAAAAAATAAAATCTGACATCAAGGATTTTATATGGAATGAAATTTTTAATTTTATTATTACTTTGAAAGGCAGGAAGACACGGTCATAGCCAATTAGAGATCTTCTATCCACTGATTCACTCTCCCACAAGCCTCAAGGCTGGCCAGGCCAAGGTCAGGAGTCTCAGAAAATTCCATCCAGCTCTTCCACATGGGACTCAAGTCTTCAGGCCACCACCTGTTACCTCCCAGGAGACACACTAGTGGGAGCCAGGCATGGTAATAATATGTGATGCAGGCGTCCCTAGCAAGGTCTTAGCTCTGTGCCAACATCTGCCACCAAAAAAAAAAAAACTGAGTCATTCCCTTCAATTTTCCCTTTGTTGTGCTCTGGGGTGTTTTGCTCTATTTTACAACTAAGAAAGACACTTCAACATCTGGGAGAAGCAAGTAGCTTCTCTTGGTGGTGGGGACTATGAACCACTCCAGTGGGGCTGGACCACTCCATCACAGACCAGCTCTCAGGCACATCAGGTTTTTACGAAGAGTAAAAAAAGAAGTTCAAAAAACATAGGAACATGGATCTCCTCAAAAATCATCCCTGAATGGCGTTCCCCAGAAAGACCTGATGAACTTTGGAAGTCAGGACCAACCCACTGAAGACTGCCAAGTGGGCCAGCATTCAGAGGTCCGTGCCATGCTGTTTCCCCATGCAGCTCCTTGAACAGGCTGCATCTGCATCAGGCTGCGTCTCGTATTCTTCGTACCTAGAATAGCATCTGGCTTGCAGGCATGCTTCGGGTCAAACGAAAAATGAAGTAAGATGAGATGACAGTCATGTCACCACCTCCACGGACAATGACAAATTCATATGGGAAGTACGTGTGTTTCTCTTATCAAACCTCAAATTCTAGACAGGAATGTCTAAAGCTGTCAATTACTTGCTTTTATGGCTTCTATTCAAAAGAACACTAAAAAAAAAAAAGATAAAAGATGATGTCCTCCTGCATGTTTTATCTTCTGTATTTTCCAAATTCTGCACTTCAACACAAAACAGAAACAAAAATTGAAATTACAAGGTACTTACTACTGCTGCAAATTCAGCTGAGGTCCTGCTGTGCGTGGAGACAAAAATGATGGACGCCAGCAAAAATACACAGCCTGTCCCCAAGGTAATATAAAAATCCTGCACACGCGGAAAAACACAGAAGGAATACAGTGTGGTTAGATTCATGACAGCAAACACTTTAATTTTGCAAAACTTCAATGGCTTTTTTTTTTTTTTTAATCTCAATACAACCCAAACTTATAACTTTGCAATAAACCAAGCATTCAGTAACTGCCCTAAAAAGAAACATTATCCACATTTTTTGGACTGGATATTTTATTCTGAGTATGCAAGATGCCCTTTCAACAAAAAGTCTCTTAAAAGGCCATGTTTGGGGCAGTGGGGGGGGGGGTGTCCTCTTTTTTTCTATGACATTAAAGGAATCAAAGGCAACGGATTTAACAGGATTCCATTTTACTTGAACTAAGGAAATTTTTTCTTTCTTTTAAAAGTTTCCTGTGATGGGATGCTGAGAATACTTCCATGGTTTGACAACACTGTGGAAAAGAGAGAACCAGAAGAATCACCCATCAATAATAAAGGGTTTTGCCAATAGTGTGTCCACGTATGATGGCAAGAACACATCACCTTCCCTTGTTCCTGGTCAGTAATCCAACGGGAGCTTGTACAATGAGCTCATCTATTGCCAGAAGCTTCTCTCGCTCATCATAACGATCATAATATAGATCAAAAGTCTGGTAGTAACCATTATCACGTAGACACAGCCACAAGGTGCCAAGGGGCTCTCCCGGGCATCCCTACAGAGGAGGCTCACATGACAACTGAGCACAGCGCCTGACACACTCATTCAGCAAGGGAAGCTTGTCAAACAACAGCCACTCCACACAGCCTTGAGAGTTTAGGCTCAGCACTTTGAGTTTTTACAAATGCGAGTTCCACTAACATCAGTGCCAATAAAGGTATTCAACACACAGTTCCTGTACAGTTGATCACTGACTTCACATTTTAAAAAGTTTAAGAAGTTTTCAATTCTACACAGAGACGTGTTCCTGGGGTACTTTCTGCATGAAATCCTTTGAGTGTGACTTACAAATCTGTACATGCAAACTTCTATCTACTCCTGTTTGGTGTGTGTGTTCAAGAAGATATTTTAGCAAGACCATCATTCAGACATCATTCCTGATCTTCTGCTACAGACCAGGAGTCACAGCTGTACTACTTTATGTCTGTGCCTCCGCTGCTGCAAAGTGGGACCAGCAACAGCACCCTCTTCCCGAGTGAGTTATAAAGATCAGAACCGGGGCAGTGCTGTGGCACAGTCTGCTAAGCCTCCACCAGAAGCGCCACCACACACTATGAGTACTGGATCAAGTCCCAGTTGCTCTGCTTCTGATCCAGTTCCCTGCTAATACAGCTGGGGAGCAACAGAAGATGACCCAGGTCCTTAGGCAGGTACCCCCTTGTGGGAAACCCAGGATAAGCTCCTGGCTTCGGATCAGCCTAGCTCTGACTCTTGCAGTCATTTGGGGAGTGAACCAGCGGATGGAAGATCTCAATCTCTCTCCTCCTTGCTCCAGCAACACTGCCTTTTAAATAAAAGTAACAGAGCTCTAAAAACACATTTTTAAAAAAAGCTCAGAGTTCATCCACAGGAGGTGTTTCACTCATTGTCAAACACACAGGTCTGACTACTGTTCTTAACAGAGCATGAGTCCCAACAGCATGAGAAGGGACTCTTCAGACTTCTCCTCTCTAGACACAACCAGCACCTCAAAGTACTGTCCCTTAAGCAGAGAACCTCTCTTACAAGAAAAACCACCAAACACTTAAGCATATGAATATGCATACCGTAAAAGGTGATGTTTAAATCATCTAAGCAAATACGAAATAATTACGTTGAGTGAAAAAGATTCCATATTCTATCATTACAAGTACTTTACAATTTTAAGATTTATTTTCTTTTTATCTGGTGGAGCCTCACATGATGGCTCAGTAGCTATATTCTCGCCTTCCTCCAAGCACCAGGATCCCATGTAGCTACTGGTTTGTGTCCCGGCTGCTCCACTTCCATCCAGCTCCCTGCTTATGGCCTGGGAAAGCAGTGCGGGATGGTCCAAAGCCTTGGGATACTGCATCTGTGTGGAAGACGTGAAAGAGGCTCCAGGCATCTTCCACGTGGATCAGCTCAGCTCTGGCCTCTGTGCAGGGTCCCAAGGCTTTGGGCTGTCCTCAACTGCCTTCCCAGGCCACAAGCAGGGAGCAGGATGGGAAGTCAGGATTAGAAAAAGCGCCCATATGGGATTCTGGCATGTGTGAGACAAGGACTTCACTCCAGGCCCTCAATTCTTTCTTAAATTTAGCAATTCTGACCTCCGTACAAATCCAAAACATACTCAAATAAAAACATAAACTCAACACACTAAGTCTGTGAAGCTAAATATTTTTAACTTTGTGGACTTAAGACTCCCACATATGATTCTATAATAAGGAAAATTTCTTTACCATAAATTCAATAAATGCATTCATCCTTAGAGACAACTTTTTCCACAACAAAATCAAAGCACAAGAATTATATGGTATTTTACTTAGAGCTCTAAAAATAGCTCACATTAACTCATTATTGTATCTCCAGGGTTTAGCTCATGGCTGGCATATGACAGGTGCATAATCAATAACTAGCGAACCAAGGAGTGACACGCTACGAACTGTGAAGCAGCAAAATTAACAAAACTCTTAATTTTATAAACAAAACTAACATGAACTAGATTAAGCTCCCTATAATTGCAAAGTAGTGACACCATGGGCTGTACCCATTCTTGTCCCTCTCACCCCTCAGGGCAGGGGAGACCCAGCCGCCTAAAGATGACCGCTGAAATGATGGACACTACCTTTTCATGTCGCTGGAATTTCTAGAGCATTCCTATTTGAACAATAAAACTGCACAAGAGGCCCTGGCGTGGAAGCCTTGTGGCTAAAGTCCTTGCCTTGTATGCATCAGGGTCCCTTATGGGCGCCGGTTCTAATCCCAGTGACTCCACTGCTTGTGGCCTGGGAAAGCAGTGGAGGATGGCCCAAGGCCTCGGGACTCTGCACCCACGTGGGAGACCTGGAAGAAGCACCTGGCTCCTGGCTTTGGATTGGCTCAGCTCTGGCCATTGGGACCACTTGGAGAGTAAACCAGCGGATGGGGGATCTTTCTCTCTTCTTCTCTCTGTAAATCTGACTTTCCAATAAAAAAATATATAAAGCTTAAAAAAAAAAAAAAACACCGTGCAAGAATACAACACGGAAGCAGTCCTCACAAAGGGCACGCTTACCGATGCTTTCACTTTGAGGGCATCAACTCTGTCGTAAACTGGAGTGCAATAGACGATCAGCAGCAGCAGGCTGAGCAGAAAGGCACTGCAGCTCACGAATTCAAAGAAGTAAAGTCCTCCACACAGCGTGCACTGCGACACAACTTCTTCACAGATGAAGGCCAGCAGGGACAGCAGCTACAACAACAAAAATATCGGGCATCGGGGTTTTTCAGGCAACCTACGGTATTCGAAGAACGCTACTTGTTTTCTCAATCATTTAAGAAGCTGGCGAAAGAGATCTGTGCCTGAGCCTCACCTAGGTCGCACTTGCAGTATGCTTGCCTTCAAGGGGATACCAGTCCACAAAATATCGACTAAGGCAGGTTACATGCTAGAAAGGGGAAACACACCCAGAACAGGCACTCACTCAGCTTGGGGGCGCTCGGAAAGGGCTTCCTGAAAGACAGCTGAGACCTGCAGGACCGCAGGGTCAATTCTGGGATGTAGGGGAGAAAACCTGCCCCACAGTCGAGCAGAACTTAAAAAGACCCAGAGATGAGCACGTGTGGCACTGACCCCACCTTCAGGATGCGCGCGCACACACACACACACACACATCCCACTAGCCCCGGCTGACTCCTGGAAGCCAGCCAACGCAACACAACCATGGAGTAGAGTCTGCAGGCAGGAAAAGGCAACACAACCAAAGATGCCACGGGCCTACAGGGGTGTGCAGAGGGCAGATCCCAACATTCTCATCAACCAGTTGGAGAGCATCTAGATTTTAAGGGCTTTCAAGGAACTCAGGGACACGATCCAGTTTATGCTTTTAGCAGTTCTTGCCAGCTACAAAGTGGAGAAACGACAGGAGGCAGGCCAACCTTGGGGCAGCCATCCAGCCAGGAAACGGAAGTAAGAAATCAGGGAATCCATGGTGAGCAGGGCAGCAGCGACGGATCAGACTACTTCCTCTGTCTCTTCCTCTCTGTATATCTGACTTTCCAATAAAAAATTTTTCAAACATTGAAACATGTACACACCTATCTTTTTGAAACTGTGATTGATTTATTTACATTTTTATTTTCAAGGCAGAGAGAAGAGACAGCTAGAGATTTTCCATGCGGTAGCCAGGCTGAGATAGGCTGAAGTCAAAAGCCTTGACCTCCATCCAGGTCTTTCCCATGGCAGTCAGGGGCCCATGGACGGGCCATCACCTGCTGCCTCCCAGCGAACGCATCAGCAGGGAGCTGGATTGGAAGCGCAGTAGATGGGACTTCCCAAGTGGCCACTCAACTACTGCACCACACCCTCCTCTCCCTATTCCACGCCACCCCTCTTTTGAAGTGGATCTTTAAGAGTTTACTGATTTGAATATCATGTTTTTCATGCACGCCTCCATCGCTTTCATCAGACCTGGCCTGCCACTTCCAGGTTGATGTTGCCTGAAATGGAGTCAGGTCTATGACACTTGAGAAACAATACAGAATCCTCTAGAGTCAGACCAGTTTTGCAGTTTTTCTGTCTTCCTCTTACTTAATCCCATAACCAATAAACGTTTTATTAACTGATCTGTCAGTCCTTCCAATTCAGTTTCCACGGAAGTAATTCAATTTTAGCTTACGTGTTTGACTATCAAAACTATGATTGGCATAAACTGGTTTGGGTACAACACAACCCAACCGATGTCAGAGGAACACGCAGGAGTACTACGGGAGCACCTGCTGCCCATGCAGGCCATGGGTGACAAGGGTGGGGACAGGACACTCGGCAGAGAACAGAGGATGGCTAACTCCAGTGTGCCATTCAAGGAAGTGCAGGTGAATTTTAGCAGCACTCCCACTATTGTCTAGTGTGTAGTGCTAACAAGGGTTTGTTTTTTTTTCCCCACTTCCTCTTTTTCAGAGGCCAGGATGCCAGCAAGAACATAAATTCCACCTGGGCCTGGTGCAATAGCATAGTGGCTGAAGTCCTCGCCTTGAATGCAACAGGATCCCATATGGGCATTGGTTCTATTCCCAGCAGCTCCACTTCCCATCCAGGTCCCTGCTTGTGGCCTCGGAAAGCAGTAGAAGATAGCCCAAGGCCTTGGGACCCTGCACCTGTGTGGGAGGCCTGGAAGAAGCTCCTGGCTCCTGGCTTTAGACCAGCTCAGCTCTAGCCGTTGAGGTTACTTGGGGAGTGAATTAGCAGATGGAAGATCTTTATCTCTGTCTCTCCTTCTCTCTGTGAATCTGACTTTGCAATAAAAATATATGATTTTTGTTTTTTAAGTGTATGGTGGAAACATGGTTGGCAGGTAAATGATGCATGGATATGGAGCTCTTAGGGGGTGGTTAAACGGGCAGTCTTGAGATGCCAATGAAGATACACGAAGCAGCTGCTGGGTGAGAGGATCAACCACAATGAAGGAAGTTGACCTTCTGCAGATTTCCATGTAATTCCAGATTTAAGAGGAGTGCAGAGGGCAAACACGAGCCAACAATCAGGACCAGCAGTCCCGGGGTCACAGCCAACAAATCAAGTGTTTCCGCCAAGAGAGAGTCATCAGGAGCCGTCAGCACCGCTTGGGGGCCAAGTAGGAACAACACTGAATCACCTATGTTAGACCGAGCCAGAAGGGACAGCTGCAAGAAAATGCCCATGTAATTTGGGGGGGGGGGGGGTAAGTCACAATACCGCATTATCAGGGCAAGACCAGGCAGTGGTCCAGAGAGAGCAGAGGCTGCCAGTGGGGCTGGGAAACAGCGGTCAGGAAGGGTGGTCTGGATGAGGTCAAAGGGAAGGGAATTTCAAGAGAGAACTGAGCCTGGTTAGATGCTTAAGCAGAAACCATTGACATGGGCAGGCATCATGCAAGGTGGCAAAGGGCTCTCTAATGGCAGGGTCCAGCCCTGAGGTCTGGACAAACTCCACTTAGAAACAGGAGGGAAGAGCATGAAGACCAGGGTCATGTGGGCAGTACTTGTGGGTTTTCTGGCCGCAGCAGTTTGCTTCTGAGAGCCACAATGATCACAATGAAAATGACCGATGACCCAAAGTCAAAGGCTAAAGGGAAGTAGCTCTCCCCCAGCCAGGCCTGCAGAAGCAACCAGAGACACCGATGGCTACAGACTGCTCTTAAATCCAGACACCTGCAGGGCATATAATAAACATTCTCCTCTGCAAAACATTTTTACTAAAAAAAAAACAGGTCAGTGAGATAGCCACGCAGGCCGGGCAAGCAGCTCAGCAGTCCCATTAAAAAGTAAGCTTGTGGGCCCGGCACAATAGCATAGTGATTAAAGTCCGCGCCTTACACGCACTGGGATCCCATCTGGGTGCCGGTTCTAATTCCTCAGCAGCCCCGCTTCCCATCCAGCTCCCTGCTTGTGGCCTGGGAAAGCAGTCAAGGATGGCTCAAAGTCTTGGGACCCTGCACCTGTCTGGGAGATACAGAAGCAGCTCCTGGCTTCGGATTAGCTCAGCTTCGGCCATTGTGACCGCTTGGAGAGTGAATCAATGGATGGAAGATCATCCTCTCTGTCTCTCCTCCTCTCTGTATATCTGCCTTTCCAATAAAAATAAATAAATTTTAAGTTTTTTTAAAAAGTAAGCTTATATCTACCATACATTCCAACAATTACACCTTTAGGTGCCCATCCCAGAGAAAAGAAAAGGTATGCTTAGGCAAAAACCAGTAAGTCAACTATCCTAACAATTTTATCCAGGGCAACCCCAAACAAGAGACAACTGCAAGGCCTTCTGTGTTTACTTTCTGTTTTTTAAGATTTATTTATTTTCATTGGAAAGTCAAATTTACAGAGAAAAGGAGAGACAGAAAAAAGATCTTCCATCCATTGGTTCACTCCCCAAATGGCCACAATGGAGCTGAGCCAATCTGAAGCCAAGAGCCAGGAACCCAGAGGTTCTTCCAGGTCTCCCACATGGGTGCAGGGTCTCAAGGCGTTGAACCGTCCTCAACTGCTTTCCCAGGCCACAAGCAGAGAACTGTAAGGGAAGTGGAGCAGCCAGGATACAAACCAGTGCCCCTATGGGATCCTTGCACGTAAAAGGCAAAGACTTTTAGCCACTAGGCTACTGCTCTGGGCACAATGCAAGGCCTTTGGTAGCTAGATAAACTGTAGTACAGCTGCCTCATGACCCTGAAAGGGACAAACTTGATACACACAGTGACCTAGATGGAGTCTTCCCTAATCGCATACAGTTAACAAGCCATGTCATCACAGAAGGCCATACGCTGACAGAGAACACATCCATGGTGGCCCAGGGACATAGGGAAGGTGTGGCTGTAAGCGGGGAGGAGTTGGGGAAACTGTGATGGAGCCACAACTCAGCATCCTGATCACGGAGGCGCCCAGAGTGAGTTCCAGTGTGCTCCTGCACATGCGCAAACACACACGCAGGAACACTCATGCGCACACCATCTCCCTGCACCGTTGCTGTAACTTCCTGTGGGTCTCTACTATCTCAATATGAAAGGTTTAAAAATGTGTCAAATCTAAAGTAGCATCTAAGACTCTAACGGATTTCCTACACTCCTTACCCCGACTGGCAATCCATAATACATATCCCTGGTAAGAACTGTGCAAGATAAAATACACTCCATCCCTCGGATTTCCTGTAAGTCAGCGAGGCATGAGACAGCAGGACTCCTTCCAAAAAACTTCCCTTAAACACATGCCTAGCTGAGGCATCCCCAGGAGTTACGCCATGTGAAATGACACAAGACAATCCCCAAAGGCCATTGTGTAAAGGAACTTCCTTCATCTATATTTAAAACTGCAAGTTAAAAAAAAAAAAAAAACATACACACTTCCTTAGCCCTATTTTTTTCCATTCTTAAAAACTTTGTGTTTATTTGAAACTGAAAAGATGTCCAGAGGCATGCGCTAGCTGCCGGTTCACTCCCCAGATGTCTGCAATAATCTGGGCCAACGCCACTCAGTCCCGGTCTCCGTCACGGATGGCAGAAACACAATTACTCTGAGCCGCCACTGCTGCCTTCCAGGCCCGGCTATGGGAGGTAGCTGGATCCAGGAATTACAACTAGGAATCAAATCCAGGCACTTCCGAGACCGGATGCGAGCGTCCTGACCGCTAGACTCAATGCCAGCATTTAGGATGAGTTTGTACACAACTCAGGGTAATAGAAAACTAGATAAAAAATTTAACGTTGCACTTGCTTTACTCCTGCC